AAGGGAAAATGACTTGACCTGATGAGAGCCTCCATGGGCAATATCCTGGATTTTCTACAGGCGGGACTTGTACCAGTACTTTGCGTAGGCAAGTGGCAGCTATCTCAGCTATTAAAGGGGCTGGAAAGGGCAAATCCCTGGCCAAACATCCGCACATTAAGAGATTCCTAAAGGGGCTTCTTTGTTGAACCCTCCGCCAGTTCACAGGTTCCCGACATGGATCCTTAACACAGTTCTGATGGCCCTGTGTAAGGCGCCATTTGAGCCTATGGCGACATGTCCCCTTAAAGAATTAACTTTCAAGACCATTTTCTTGGTGGGTATTACTTTTGCTAGAAGGGTGTCGGAGTTAAGAGCATTGTCAGTTGATAGGGAGCTCTGCACTTTTCACCTTGACAAGGTAGTATTTCTACTGGACCCAGCCTTTGTGCCGAAGGTTAATTCGACCTTTCGTAGGTCGGCGGAGGTAGTCTTACCATCCTTTTGTCCCAATCCCCAGAATGAGAAGGAAAGACAGTTACACTGTCTCGATGTGTGGAGGGCCCTTAGTTTTTACATTGAATGAACTAAGGGGATAAGAGTGCATGACTCCCTCTTTGTCTCTTTCCGTAAGTCTTCCATGGGTAGGAGAGTTTCAGCTTCTTCCATTAGCAGATAGATATACAAGTCTAGGCATATAAAGCAAGGGGACTGGAGCCACCCCATGGGGTTACGGCTCATTCTCTAAGGGGGGCGGCTATGTCGGCGGCTTACAGGGCCTTTCCCTCCCTGGAGGTAGTGTGCAGGGCAACTACATGGAAATCCACTCATTCTTTCACTAGGCATTACAGGATTGATAAGATGGCCTCGGCTGAAGCAGCCTTTGGCAGCAGAGTCTTGCAGCACGCCTTATAGGTGGGGAAGCAGTTGGTCCTGCCCTGGGTTACAGCTGTTCTACGTCCCAGGAGTAAGGAGTCTGGAGGACTGCCCCACTCCTGGATCACCGGAGAATGGAAGATTTATCTCCACTTACCGTGAAGCTTCCTTCTCAGGGATCCAGAGCGGGGCAGTCCTGCCCACCCAAGGTTGGGGTTTTTTTTGGGGGGGGGAACTGCTTCCTTCACCTGTAGGGGTGTTGGCAATGGTCGTCACCCGGAGGTTGCCACTGGGAGATGGAAAGCAGGTTTACCATCACCGGGGGTTGCTTGGTTTGAAACTGTGGTGATGGGTGGTTACAGTTTGTTTGGGTTAAGCCCCCCGTTGGGTTTTTTTGTTTTTGTGGAGTTGTGGTTTTTGTTCCTTTTATGAGACAGGGGAAAGGTGGCTTGGAGTACGACTGGGATGCAGGAGCACAAGCCCCTCCCCTCCATGACGAAAGAGTCTGCCGGCCCTGCAGTTGGAGGCGAGGAGCTGTTACCCAGGAGTAAGGAGTCTGGAGGACTGCCCCACTCTGGATCACCGAGAAGGAAGCTTCACGGTAAGTGGAGATAAATCTTCCATTTTAGGTCAGTTGATTATTATTATAGCCTAGACCTGTGCTGAAAATAATCCAATTAATTCCTGTTTCACTGCTGGATTTGGTGTAGGAACAGTAGCGCACATATGCATACCCAAGTCCATATTGGGGAGAACTGGGATTTACAGAAACCTGCTGGTTTATTTTTTTTAATGACCTGTCTTTACAAGCCATCTAAATTGAACATGCGTTTTCTCATGTCAACATGATTCTATATTCTTTCAGGATGAACCATGATGCTGCACGAATCCCAGCTGACATCCCAGAGGCACTGTGCCTCTGTGCAGGATGCATCAATCCTTTCACCATGCAGGAAGACCGTACCCTGGTCAGTATTCCTATCTACAGCAAAATCCCAGTCCGTCGCCTGCTGTGTGAGCCAAGCAAAACTCACAGGAAGAAGAAAAAGTGCCATAAAGAGTACAAAATGGTAATGGAGACCATTGCTGTAGGTTGTACTTGCATTTTCTGAGGACACATGGTGGGCAGGTCTTCTTCCATCTTTGCAGCAGGGCCCTCTGCTCCCATCTATCTAGCCTCCTTCTTTTGCCAGTTAGAACAGGTGATCTACGGGCCCTTCCTCTAAGTCCTTGCTCCTTTTCCTGTCACAATGAGGCAAGGTGGATGTGTGTGCACATGTGCATTTTCAGAAGCCAAAACTGCTTTGGTCAGGACCCTTCTCTCCCATCACCTTCTGCTAAGCCTGGAACTGCCTCGTACAGCCGGCAATCAATCAATTAGGAATTTGGCTTATTAAGGGGCTTCACTACCTGTCACAGTGTGTCTGGGTCCATGTTAAGACAGACCTATGTAATTGCCTTTTAAAAACTACAGCAGCTCATATTTTCAGAGGGTAGTCATGTAGGTCTGTAGTACAAGAGCCAGATTCAAGTTCAGTGGCACTTTAGAGACCCACAAGGTTCTTGAGTGTATAAGCTTTCAAGAGTAAAAGCTCTGACTATAGCTGGCAAAGGGAGCTTAGACTCTCAAAAAGTTGTACCCCAGAAATCTTGTTGGCCTCTTAAGATGCCACTGGACTAGAATCTAGCTTATGGTATGAATCCACAAGCACACTTATTTCCCACTGCCAGTTGTTCTAACTGACATACCTGTATGCTCATGTGTCTAGCAGAGAACTGTCTTGGCACATGAAGAGAACAGTTGCTGGAGGGGCAGGAAGAAGGGCCTGCATCATAAGTGCAGAGGACTCAGATGTGTAACTGTCTTGGTGTTTTGGCCTTTCTGAAGATCATCATTGCAGCTGCTGACCACTCTCTGCTTACAAGTTGCTTTTGTATTGGATTATGGAGGCCTTAAGTCAATTGTGATCAATCTTAGGCCAGAATAGCATCAAGATCCCAATGGTCTTTTATGCCATTCATCTTTTTGGAGAATGTTACTGAAACAGAAAAATAAAACCCTTCTGTAGGAACCACTGTTTATCTGCATTGACTGCTGAAGGTCAAAAGCTGGGAGCTGGCCCTTCAGATTCTTGATCGTAGGTCCGTGGGAGTAGGAGAGTCTGTGCTTGCCCTGTGGGATGTGGAAGGGGACAGGCTTTCACAGCCAGGATACTTGGCAGGCTATTGTTCACCCTACACAACCCTATCAAGAGAATTCCTTATCTCAACCCCAAGCAGGCTTATGAGCCTGGTGCTGGCAGCTTTGATAGCAAAATCTGGGAAGTAGGGAGAGGCTTGGATAAGGGCCAAATGAGAAAACAGCAGGGTGGTGCTTGTGCCAAATAAAAGTAGAGCCAGGAAGCGGTCAGAGAACCTCAAACTATTCAACTAAGCCAATCATACCCTGAGGCCACTGACCATGACTACATACATAGGAGCCTTGTATAGGAAAGCCTCCCTTCACCTCAAGGCAAACAATAGTTCTCCATCCCATGGGAAATGGGCACAGGTCAGTACCATAGTTCCCTCCAAGCTGCACTAGGGGGTGCTAGTGCAGAAAATTTTAATAGGCAGCGCAGGGGGTTCTGCTTTGGCTCACAAGGCATTTTCCCTGCCATTGGAAACAATGGCTGATGGGGGCACCTCCTTCTGGGGCCCATAGAATTCGACCCCCTGGCCCAACCTTTTTAAAACTGGGGGAGGGGGTCTGAGGAGAGGCACCAGCAGCTATACTGCAAATTTGGTGCCTCTACCTAAAAATAGCCTCCCAGATCGATGTTCTATTATAGTCTATGGGGCCTATTGACTATAATGATCCCCATAGGCTACAATAGAGCCAGAATATTTTTTTGCACACCCCTATTAAGCTTTTCAGCATGATTTGTAAGCTGCCTTGAGTCACAGGAAAAATATAAAAATATAAATATGGGATATAAATATTTCAATAAATAAGTAGTTTGGGCACGTTGATAAAATTTAAGCAACTTCGTGTTTGTTAGGTGAGTTAGGGTTCTGACAGTGATTGTTCCTCCTCTGTAATGTTGGTTGACCTGTAATGTTGGTTGTCGTATTTCACACACACAAAAATCCCAAAGTAGACTGCAACAGTCCCCCCCCCCAAAGTGCTGGTATATTTTCTAAGGCTCAGCACAAGGTGACAGTCCAAGGCCAGGTCTACCAATATAGTGGACTGGGTAGATCTGTTCTCTGGAGGCCAGGTCTAATAGTGGAAAAGGGTGGGTAGACCTCTTCCCTGGAGGCCAGGTCTACCAGTATAGTGGAAACGGGGTGGATAGACCTGTTCTCCAGATAGGTCTACCAATATAGTGGAACGGGGTGGGTGAAATTTGACTTGATTCGGTTTTCTTTTACATTTAAAATAATTCATTCTAAGATTCTTACAAGGTTATGGAAGTAATCTAAAAAAACTAATTTACATGATAGTCACAACTTTAAATGCATCTTCCAAGACCCCCACAACAGCTGGATTGGCTTGGAGAAGGGGTTTAAAAGAGACAAACGTCTTTTCCAAGCTGGCCATCGGGGTGTGTCTTTAAGAACACATTTAAAGTTAAAGTTGCTTTCTTTCTCTGCTCCCCCCATCTCAAGCCTACCCAGGGAAGGGAATACTGGCTGGGGAAGGGAAGACCGATCGGGGAGGCATGCCTCCCCTTCACTTCCCCAGCCACCCTGCTGGGAGCCGCACAATATGTGTGAAAGAGCCACATGTGGCTCCTGAGCCACAGTTTGGCCACCCCTGCCTGGAGTAGATCTTTCCCCCAGACCTTGGAGAGCCACTTGCAATCAAAGCGGGCAATGGACCAATTGCCTGACTCAGTATAAGGCAGCTTCACAAGGAAATAAAGGCTTTGTTAAGATGAATGAAGTACTTGTTCCAGCTTGTGGAAGTCAGTATCATACTGATGGAAGCAAGCCAGAGACGAAAGAGAGAATGATATTATAATAAAACAAATATATTTTCAAGGCATTGCCTTTTGCCAGAACACCACAAGACTGTTGAGGAGAAACTGACTGCTTTAGTTCCCAGTGTACTTCAGTTTCTCAGCCCATCCCAGAATAGCAGTGAACACTCAATACACAGTTAAGGAACTTTATTAGAGGAGGTTCAGAGTCACATGGCCAGTACTTCCTGCCCTGCCTCTACAGGGAACACAGGATAAATTCACTGGCCAGTCTTTGTGCTCAAGAAGCAATCTTGCTGTCTGACAATAAAGTGATTCCTCTCCTTATTTTACAAGTACCTGATCCTTTTCTCAAAGCCTGTATCGTTTTTTTAAAAATCCAAACCTCTGTAGAAAGCAGAACATGCTTACTCTGTCAACAGCCATTAGTTGCAGGGATTGGATGTTACCAGGACAGTGTTTATGCAGTCTGATATAGGTACTGACAGTAGGAGGCAGGTTCACATTTGCACAGGGAGGGGACATCAAACCTGAGCTTTAGCCAGCACCTCAATACCTAACTCAGGGCTCTGGTTGACCACAATTAAAGGCAAGCTTGTGGGTGTTTGTAAAGGCTAACACTGCTTGGCATGGCAGTACAGTAAGGGAGCTGCAGGGATTTGTCATCAGACATATGCTCCTGCTTGAAATGGCCATTCCCTCTAGCACAGAAGCCGAGCCACAAGGAAGGAAGGAGTTCAGCAAGAAGCAGTCAGGAATGAAGACTGCAGTTGTTGCAGAGGAAACAAGAGCTCCAGTCTTCAGGTAGCTTCTTTACAAAGGCATAGCTTGCCAGGTGATGTACAGTTGGCAATGTACGGCTGTGGCTCATCAGGTAGCAGAGCACTGTTTGCCTGAAGAAGAAACTAGTCCCACTTCTGAACCTGGAATCAGCTTGGATGCAGTTCAATACTAACCAGCTTGGATGCCTTCCAAGATTTTTCTCAGAAAATGTTGTTTCCAGTAAAGGATTGCCATTAGCTCACAGACTGCAAAAGAGACTGGGATGCACTTGCTGCAAACAGATAAACAGGGATGTATATCCAGTCCTCCATTCATCTTCCTGTTAAAAAAGTCCAGTGTACCTGTTCAATCCACAATGCATCCAATAAAGGAGAAGATCCCAAAAGTCTCCTCCAGCAGTGCCTGCTAGATTCACAGCTCAGTCTTCACTTTGTGCATGAGGTCCTTCTGGTCTATCTTATCCAGGTCATGATACCAAAGGTTGTAAGCTAAGAGGGCCACATTTTTGGCTGCCACAGCAGCCATTTCCATGGAGCTGGCTGCCCACTCCATGCTGTTGAGGTAGTAGAGATTGTCTTGGAGAACAATGGGTGGAAGAGTCTTGGAAGATTCATAAGAAGGATATGCCTGCCATTCTGTCACCTGGACAGAATAGTAGGAACGGAACAGCATCTTCAGCTCCTGCTTTTCCAAGGGACGCTGGGAATGGACTCTCCACACAGCAGCCTCTTGGGGTTGTTTCCGCCTGAAGGTACTGGATACGTTGACAGGGTAAATGTTATCCATGGAATTGAAGAAGAGGGCAGGGGAGTCTGTGGTGAGGACACTGGTGAAAGGGAAGAGCTTTGGATCACCAAAGCCAAAATAAGAGGAGTTGAGATAGCCATGGACTATAGAGGTGATGGTGGTGTGAAAAGTTCCTGGAAACTCAGCAATGGGAGGGTCAAAGTTCTGAAAAGTGATGTTGCTCTTCTTATCATGCAGTTGTGTGGCAATGACCACGATGTCATAGAAGCTAGAACCCTGGCCTTCCTCATCCTCATAGTGCACTTGGTAGAAATTTTTTCCTTCTAGAAAGAGACGGGAGGGAGGGAGGGAGGGAGACAGCAAAACAGTAACGCCAACAAGCATTGCATCCAGGTGAGGGCTTCAGGGGAGCAGTATGGACAAATACTAGACCCTATAGGGTGGTAAACGTCCCTGAGTCACAACTCATCCAAAGCTCTCCTACAGTTACTTAACCAGATTGCCTTCTGTAGCTCTCATAATTTGTGGGTTTTAACTTCTAGACCCTGCTCAGGTGCATGCAAACTACATGAGGGTGGGATTTTGAGGTTTCTCCATTGCTGGTGCAACTGCAGTTAAAGTGGCAGGTTCCTCATGGCAGGTTTCCCCACAGTTTCCCCACCTAAGATACACCACAGTGGCCACCTTCTTCCACTAGACCACCAGGGCTTTTGCAATTAAAAGAAAAGTCGGCACTACAATATCATTACATTGATATGCCATTGTAACTATAGGTGTACCAAGTTCTCTGGATTCCCAGCTTTCATCATAAAAGTCTCTAAGCCCCTTTGGTTGCAAAGAAATGATTTTTATATCTCTGCAAGAGAAGAAGCTAGAGACTTCCTTTTAAAAAAATGAAATCTGAGAATTCAGAGAACCTGCATATAGATATAAAGATATTTTAGTGCTGAATTTTTTTAAAAAAATCCCTCTGGTGGGGTGGGGGGAAAATGGCTGCTGTGAGAACAGATTCATGGAAAATGGCTGCCATGTTTGTCAGGAAAATCTGAATTTTCCTACCCATACAGCAGCCATCCAGATTTTACTGCAGTCTTTCCCAAAACCTTGGAGCAAATTAGGTATGAGAAAGAATGGCGAAAGCTGGGGAAACCCCGGAAAGTGCACAAATGCGCCATGATGCTGTGGGGAAGTAGGAAAAAAACCCTACTTCCCAAAAGCATTAACCTTGAGGCAGATAACCCATGCAGAAGCCATCTCGGTTAGCTCGACAAGCCACACCAAATTAATAAGGTACCATGTACAAGTGACATGTGGGCCTTAATCAAAAGATACAAAGTCAGGGAAACTTTTCTAAGCATGGCAAGTGGAAAAACCTTACTTATGATGCACGCACAATGCATGCGCATTGCAATCACATATCACTGAGCAGTTCCAGTTTTACCTTTAAGAAAACATTAAAGCCCTTTACTGAGGCCACCTAGCTCAACATCATTTACTTTGATCTATCACGGCTGTTCAGCTTCTCAGGCAAAGATAACTCGCTTATACCACCCTGCAGCTCTGCTTCCAGACCTAAAAAGAGACACCTTATGTGGCTCACCTGAATTGTGCAGGGAGATGGCTGTCACAGTGGCCTGGATTATGTTGGCTTTGCTTAGCTTCAGCAAACCGGAGCACACCAGCTTATTACCACCTTCCACAGCCCACATGTTGCCTTGTGCCCCTGCTAGTGACATGGCCCCTGAAAGAACAAATGCAGAATGGGTGAATGCCAAGAGAATAAATGCGCGGAAGCCATGCAGCACCCCCCCCCCTCTTGCACCGTTCCCTGGCTCGCCCAAGTTCAAGCCTACTAGAAGGGAAGCCTTCCTTGGTAGATCTGGAGAATAACAACAAGGGTGGCACTCACCGGCAAATGCAGGCACGAGTACGGATTGGCCGTAACTGGCACGCAGAATGGCCACAATAACGTCGTCAATGAAGTGCTGTGTGATGCCCACCTCCAGCAGGGATTCTGCCACAGAGCGCTGAGTCGTGTTGACAAAGGCGTCACCACCCAGTGAATGTAAGAGTTCCTCTAGGCGAGAGAATGAATAGCCATGAGCCTGGTACTTGTAGATTCTGTTGGACATAAAAAGAAAAAAATCTGATGCAGTGGAGCTTCCTTTCAGGAAGCCTCAAGAACCTCCAGTATATTGTTCTACATTTTTTCAGTCTGAGTAGGACATTATTTAGGTCCAAGCAGAAAGCTCATCCTGTTTTCCTTTAGCTCCTCTGGAAAGATGACATCCCTGTTACATACCTCATGAACTTCTCCATTACCTCCTCCACCCACATCTGTAGGCGCAGGAAGCTCATGCCATAGTGCCACCAGAGCCGAAAGAGGTTCAAGAGGTACCAGTCTGTCTCCTCCAGGACAAATTGCTCCCCACTGAAGACTGCACTTTTCCCTGCCACTTCTCGACGGTGCTTCAGCCCTGTATGCAGGGACAATGAGATACAGTAAAGGATACTTTGTTTTTCATTCATGAGTTGGGGTGCTCAGTAACTGACCTTCACAGTCTTTCTCAAGCTATAATGAAAGCAATCAAAATCCTGCTCAGACAATCTCTGGTGCTTTAGGGTAGGACAGCTGAATATTTGGGGTTTTCTTGAAACATCCAAGTAACACCAATTTACATTCAGAGCAGGGAGGAAATTCCACAGTCCACATTTTACCACCTTGGGTCCAGTTGCTCCTACCCAAGTGATTAAATTTGATACACAATCAGTGGAGAGACTTGCAGACCTTTAAATTAGATGCTCATATTAATGCCCCACCTTGGTACTACATGTATATCTACTTCTGCTGTTCTGACTCTATGCAACTTTGCTACACCAGCATAGATTCCTTGCAGTTTTGTCTCCCTCCCTCCTTTTCACAAGTATCAACCGGCAGATATACCCCCTCCATCCCTGTCCCCTCCTGATCTTTGCAGTAGAGGATTGTCAAGGTTTGATGCAGGAAGTTCCCATAGTGCCCAAGATGTCTTTTAAAAGAACAGAAGAAGAGATTGGATTTATACCCCACCCTTCACTCCGAGTCCCAGAGCGGTTTACAAACTCCTTTCCCTTCCCCTCCCCACAACAGGTAGGTGGGGCTGAGAGCTCTTTTGAAAACTGTTCTTTCAAGAACAGCTCAGACAGAACTATGGCTTGCCTGAGGTCATCCAGCAGCTGCAAGTGGAGGAGTGGGGAATCAAATCCAGTTCTCCCAGATTAGAGTCAACACACTTAACTACTACACCAAACTGGCTCTCAGGAACATGGCTTCTGGTGTGCTTTAGAGATTTTGCCTACCATTAACAAGCTAAAGGACAATTTAAAGGTAATGAAATTCAACCTTCAAGATATAATTTTTCATATCGAAGTCCCCTTAAGTAGACAAGACAACCATTAAAATCCCTTGTTGTGTACATAGTTGTGGATCTGAAGGCCAGAGCAAAGAGAACCAAGATCCATCACACCAGACACACTTTCAGGGTATACAAGAGTATACGAAACCTTAAATTCTAGTTCATGGGCTGTGCCCATACTCACCCAGCAGTTTAACAAAGTCTTGCATGTGCAAATTGAGGGAATGAATGGAGGCTCCACCGCTTTCATACTGCTGTTTGTTAACCGTAACTGTGGCCAGGCGACCACCCACTGTGTCCTTTTCATACACATCCAGCTGCACGTGTGGCCCAAAATGCTGTTGCAGAAAGTGGGCCACTGACGAGCCACCAATCCCAGCTCCGATCACAGCTGCCAGGGTGAAAGAGAAGCAAATATCAGACATCACACAGGTAGACTCACCTTGGACTACCTTCCCTACCTCCTTCGAGGACAAGGAGGCTGGTTAACAAAACAGATAAAAACAGATACATTTTTGCAGTGTTACAAAGTGAGTAGTTTTATATTTTTTGTAATAAAATTTAAAACAAAAACCCAAAACCAAAGCAGTTCTTGTCAAGCAGAAAGGGTGCCATAAAATTAACAAAAGCTTTACCAGCGCAGTCATTTAGCATGGTGCTTTCCAGATTTCCTTTGTAAAAATATTTCTACAATACAAAGCAGCCAGGAAATTTCTACTGGAGGCCACGGGATAATCTGAGCACCTGAATATCTCACCACAGTTGAGTTGCTCTTACACATATACATGTTAGATCTTACTATTCTCTGAAGCTTCAACTCTGCGCCAAATTTGGTATTAAATATTGGCTGCCATTGTGGGCAAATCCTAAATCTTAAATTTTCATAATCTCTCCAATACATTAGAATGACCAAAATGAGGCATGGCATGTAATCATGTTATTCTGTGGGAGGAAATGTTTTTATTCTATAAACCTTTGTGGTCTGCTGTGTGGTGACAGTCCTTAAAATGCCACAAGACTCTTGTTTATTTTTATGGAACACCAAATGTCTGTCATGAATGATTTCAAGATTTGATTGATTCCAAAACAGTAGTCATGGCAGTCTCTTACAGCAAAGTCAACAAAGAGTCCTGTGGCACCTCAAAGAAAATAATTACTGAGGTATAATCTTTCATGGGCCTGAGCTGCTTTGTCCAATACGTGAAATAGTCATCTATGCAAGTAGGTATGTATTCCCAGATTACAGGAAAAAGGAAACATTTTATTTATTTTAAAGGACTGTATCTACAAGACAACAAAGGGAGGTGAAGCAACACAAGGGACAGCATTAAGACAGTATCACGCAAGGCACAAACAAATCCAGTTGGTGTTGATGTGACCCTATCTAGGCTTAGTAGCCTACAGTGGTGCACAATCATAGAAAGATCAACGCTATAAAGATGAACAATTCATTGCTTTGGTGAACAAGGATTTCCTGAAACCGGGTTGCATGGTGTCACTCTCCCAATTATTTCGTCCTGGAGAATTTGAAAGCTTGCACACTTATGTCATTTAGCTTCTTAGTAATATTATTTTTCATTTTTGGATTTTTCTGTGGACCACACAGCTACCTGGAAATTCTTCCTCTGGAAGATTCCAGAGCAAGGCCACCAAATTGGGATCTCATTAACACAAATAACAGTGTCGAATTTGGTCTCAACAAATCCTGGGAACATCGAGCTCAGCACAGAAAGTCATTGTCCCTCTTCTTTAGGAGTTTATTTACACTGTTGAATACACCATTCATCACCAGTAGCCAATAGGCTGGAGCGGAAAGAAGGCGGCTGTCACCAGGTGTCTTCTATGAGTACAGGGGAATGGCCGGCAGCATTTGTGAGACATTTTACATCCAGACTCATCATTCTCGAGATCAGTGGGGTTTGTGTGCATTATGAAATCCACAGAAGAATTGCAAAGAACATATTGGAGTCTGTGCAACACAAAGAACTGATGGCCGTCATCCATCGCTGTTCCAGCCCTAGTTTGCAGCAGCATCTCACGGCAGGCCAAACCAGCCTCATCTTCAGCGCCGCTACTAGTTTTTCATTACCCGCGTTCTTTTCAGATAACGCGGTTATCTCATGCTGTCGCCTTCACGCCCTTCCCGTCCCTTCAGGAGGCCTCGATCTGAGCGGCAAAATCCGCAGACCACGATCTAGCCCGCGGGGAGCAAAAAAGACCGCCTACCTATTTTGCCAGGCGGAGCATCCCCTGAGGCTGCCACAGAGGACGCCGTCCGCATCACCCCTACAGCTAGAGATAGAAGGAGTCGGGAGGTACAAGGCAGCCGATGCGAGTCTGCCATCATGGTGGCAGGCAGCGGGGGAGGAGGAGTTGGAGGGAGGAAGAGGCTGTGCCTCGCAAAAGCGAGAATGCACAATGCAGGGTGAGCAATTCCAGCGATGCAGCCCAAGCTGCAAAACTGGATCGCTCTCCCGCCCACTCCGGCTGCGTGACCGGGAAACTCTTTGTATCTGTCCACGACTCCTCGAGGCGCTGCAACTCACGAGGTACCAGGGAGGGAGCCGGAGGGAACTGCTCATTGGCTGCGCCTCTTGCGGCAGCTCCTTTTCCGTGCGGCGAGGGACTACCTCCTTAAAGAGACACGGCCCAATTAGAGCACAGGCTGCATTGCTATAGGATGATACAACGCTTGATTGACTACACCTGGCTTTAAAATTTTACTCCCTATTCCCCAGTAGCCCTGCGAAGCCTCGTTCATCTTATTTCCCTTAACAGCGGTTGCATAGCTACAGACTCCCCCGCTGATCCACTTAGGAACAGTGTTTCGTTGAGTCCCTTACCTGCAAACTGGCAACTGATTCACCAGGATTGGCTTCCTGTTGTGGGGGTGTAACACTCGGGCTGGGAAGAACCGGTGGGGGGTTGCTGAGCTTGCACATCTGAGGCTTTGCACTCTAAGTGGGGATGTACTAAAAGGAATGACAAGAATGCCAGTAAGGAAAAAGATGGGTTATGCCCGAAGGCCCATTGGATATAATGGGAGTCACCAATGCCAATTGCATTTCATGAGCTCAATTGAAAAACATTACAGGACAGAAAAGCTGCAATGAAAATGTGGAACGGGTTTTGAGAAAGCTGCCCTGGGTGTGGAATTACAGTCCCCACAGTGGAATGATGGTCCTTGTGTCTAGAGAAACTGCTCTGGGGCTGGAATAACAGTCCCCAAAGTGGAATGATGGCCCCTGGGCTTGGAATCAGTGTTCTGGATCTAGAATGATGGTCCCCACAGCAGAATGACAGTCCCTGAGGGTAGCATAAGTGTACTGAGGCGCCTAGAATAACAGCTGCCAGAGTGGAATGATGGTCCCTGAAATCAGTGCTCAGGATTCCAATCACAGGGAACACCATTCTACCCTGGAGGTTGTGGTTCCTCTCCCCAGAGCAGGATTCTTAAAATCCATTCCATAGTTTCCTTGCAACTTTTGTGTACTGTAATGCATTTCAGGGGAGCCAATGGAAGTCAAATGACATTCCTAGATCCCATTATATGCAATAGACCTTCAGGCATCTCCCATATTCTCAATAAGCATTCATGAAATTAGTTTTAGTACATCTCTTGCTGAGGGTGAAAGAGGAAAGCACAAAAGTTGGCTTGAAATTCAACATCAAAAAAAACCACAACAAAACTATCATGGCATCTGGCCCCATCACTCCCTGGCAAATAGAAAGGGAAGTCATGGAAGCAGTGAAAGAATTCATGTTCCTGGGATCCAAGATCACTGCAGTGACTGCAGCCATGAAATTAAAAGACACCTGCTCCTTGGGAGGAAAGCTGTGGCAAACCTAGACAGCATAATAAAAAGTAGAGACATCACCCTGCCAACAAAAATCCGTATGGTCAAAGCAATGGTATTCCCAGTAGTAATGTATGGCTGTGAGAGTTGGACCATAAGGAAGGCTGAGCGCCGAAGAATAGATGCTTTCAAATTATGCTGTTGGAGAAGACTCTTGAGTGTCCCTGCAAGGAGATCAAATCAGTCGATCCTAAAAGAAATCAACCCAAACTGTTCCCTGAAAGGCCAGATACTGAAGATGAAATACTTTGGCCCCCAAATGAGAAGGGAACACTCACTGAAGGCCACCCTGATGCTGGGAGTGATTGAAGGTAAAAGAAGGGGACAGCAAAGGATGAAATGGTTGGACAGTGTTATCAATAAAACAAACATGAAATTGAGCAAACTCCAGAAGACAGCAGAACACAGGAGGACCTGGCATGATGTGGTCCATGGGGTCGTGAAGAGTTGGACTCGACTGTGTGACTCAACAACACATCTCTAAGTGGTTTGATATCCTTGGTTGGAAAGCTACCTTTTCCTAGTATCTAGTTTTTTGACAGGGAAATATCTCCTTGGCGCCTTTCCTGATGAGTTGATGGTGCAGAAGATAAAAGTGTTTGGGTGAAGTGGAGTTGGCTTTGTTCTTGTCTGACAACTGAGAGGAAGGGACAACATTAGCCTGTGGTGAGGTCAATGGGTGAAGGTATTTATAACCATAAACTTTTTTGAAGGCTTCCCTTACCTTTAAGAGAGAGGCCATGCCCACAGGGACAGCATGAGCTGGAGGAATGCATACTTCACATAGGGAGCTATCCCCAGAAGTCAAGCTACCACTGCAGTTCATGTCTTCTGCTCTCTACACAGCAAACATGTTAGGGAGTCAAAGAAAGGTAAGCACCATTCATCTGGGAGGATGAGCAGCCAGTTAAAGAGCCAGAAATCTTCCTCCAAGCCTCTGCCAAGTTTCAGAGCGACCAAGAGTGTATGGGAATCCCTCCCAAATGAATTCCAGGCAGCATGGAAATCCTCATAGGAATAGTCTCATAAGTCTTCAGTGGCACAAAGGGTAGACCAGGTCTCCTGCCCCAATCAGTGAAATACCCATCTTTCCCTAGAGTCAGAAGGAGGGAGAAGTATATAATGGATTTTACTACTTACTATCCAGAGGTTGTATCACTGTTGGAGATAGATGCTCCTTGTTACCAATGTCTTGTTAGCTGTCTTTGCAAAAGTGGATTAAGATGGGTAGCCATGTTAGTCTGTCTATAGCAGTAGAAAAGAACAAGAAACCAGTAGCATCTTCAAGACTAACAAAATATGTGGCAGGGTATGAGCTTTCGTGAGTCACTGCTCACTTCTTCAGAATCAGATAACCCTGCCATGTACTTTGCAAAAGTAGGAATGTCCTTGAGATTCTCAGAGATTGGGGGCTCCTTTGCCTGCCATGTGATGAAGGAGGAAGAAAAACCTGGGGACAGCCTGAGTTAAACATGCAACTTCCCCCCCTTACCATCATGTCACTAACAGATTTGTAGCTATGTAAAATTCAAATGTAACAAAAAATACATTTCACTGTGTATTTTCTGCAATTCATCGCCCTTTGACTTTTACGATTTCCCCCTCATATTAATGTCTGCTTACTGACCTACAATATACATCTAAACAAGTGGCTTCTAGGCCACATAAGTTCATGCTACAATACAAATGTGTTAAGTGCTTACAGTGCTACAAGGCTGTTTGTTTTTGCCTTAAAACTAAGCACTGTAGAAATGTTAAAAACCATGCACTGCTGCTGCTGTTCTGTATTTCATTACATAAGTGCCCTTTCCAGGATACAGTGTCAAGTGACTGATTCCAGCAGAAGGGCCAAGTGGAGAACACCATTTTGCTACCTCCGGCTTTGAGTCATATATACACATTTTCATTTTTCCCTGCTGCTGTCAAAATGTCTAATGGAGCACTAGCCTTTCACACAGCCCTCATGGGCTTTTGGCACTGGCTTGCAGGTGTGAAAAGCATATCTGAGTTCACTTAGCACTCACCCTCTCAGCTTAATACCAGGACTTCTGGAAGTCTGCTTATACTGATGAAAAACTGCAGCTGACAGGCTCACAGGGTCAGCTGAATAAACCCACTGCCTAAAGAATACAAGACAAGCAGCCCGCTTCAGTGAACGGGCTTAATTGCAAGCTGCTCCCAGCAATCAAAACTGCCAAGCAGCAGGGATTGTGTCTGTTTATTCACTATTTTTGTTTCAAATTCATTACCTGGTATTCAACAAGCAGCCATCTGGGGACAGAAACTAGTATGAATGTAAGCTGTGAGTGTGACTCTGTATGTAAACACCCTGACTTAAGCATATGTGTAGCTAAATCAACAGAGCAAATGATCCATGAGCTGCAGGAAATACATGAACTACATGGCACCTGTTGGGGAAAAAGTTTTACACAGTGTTTATCACTTTAGGATCAGCTATCACTACAGTCCTGGCCTGATCTCATCATATCTCAGAAGCTAAGCAGGGTCTGCCCTGGTTAGTACTTGGATGGGCAAGCTGAGGGCTGCTATGCAGATGCAGGCAATGGCAAACCACTTCTGAATAGCTCTTGCCTTGGAAATCCTATGAGGTTGTCATAAACTGGCTGAGACTTGACAGCAGTTGTCATCACCATCACTAGACATGTATGGGGCTGCTCCATACCCCTGGTGTGTCTGCATCAGCTTGCCAGCTGTGCCTTTGACTGATGTACCATAATGATGCTTGGCATAGGCTTCACATCACATATTATCACAGTCCTCCCACTAGCTATACAGGGAAGGCCACTACAATTCCCACTACCATTGCAGAGCCACATATGCTGGAAAAAACAGGGGCATGCATAAGGCTCCCCAGCCAGCTTGTGTGGTCCAGGTGAGATTTTAATATATCACAGCTCATTATCATTCCCATCATGCTGCTAGCAACTATGTTACACCAGTTCCTCTCTTTCTACCAGGATAGGAGGTCCATACCATCAACCAATAGTCCAAACCAATTTCTGCTGTTTATCTGCTTCAGGTATCTTGACAAAAAAGCAACACAGAAATGCATTACATTCTTGGCAGTTTCCCCCCCTTAGTGTCTCCCTTTATTATCATTGCCTCAACAGTTACCTTCTCATAACCTAGTTTAATTCAAACTCTTGACTTCCACGAGATCTGAAGCCTGATAACATTCACTAGGCCAATGTCACTGCTAAGCTCAGTAAATACATTGCAACGAGTGGACTTGGGTCTCCATATCTTATTATTTAGTCCTGAAGAAATTCAGTGTTAAAGAGTAGTTATTGTCATTGAAACACCATAAATACTTAGGAAGGTACAAAAGAATATATTGACAAGATCAGGACAAAAGTTTATTCAACCCCCTTACTCCCAAATTCTCTCCCAAATTCAAAGGAGTAAGACAAAGAACTTCCAACTTATTCAAAAGGCTCTCAAAGCAAGCACCGTATTTCAGCAGACAGAAGTCATGTAAAGATATGTTTTATTTGCAAGAACATGGTGTTTTTCAGACTCAGCTATGCTCTAAACCACATGGGTACCATGTCAATCCCCTACCCAATCAGAACTTCTGAGTTACAAATAACAGCACTTACAAAGAATACAAACAGGTTCCATATACACAAGTGGCTAACCACCTTCTTAAATGAAGGAACTCTGGAAGACTAATTATTCATGTGCCTTGGCAAAAAAGACATCAAAACATCTTGCGCTCAATAAACAAGAAATCATGAAACATTTCAAATCAAATATATTTCTAATTAAAATCCAGAAGTGTTCTGACATAATCACTTTTACTGCTATGAAGATAATTCACATAGGGTTAGATCCAGTGGTGGATTTCCACAGATGGAAATAAAGGCAATTTTATTTTCATCAGTTCCCTGCTCTCACTACAGATCTCTGACTCCCCCTTCATGCTTTCACTTAGGACCAGCATTTTAGGGGACATTTTGGGCTACAATGGGAAGCAAGCAAGTCACACACTGCAGAGGAAAATCCCTTCCATCTGTGGAAATTCTCTGTGGGATCCAAGCCATCAGAACCAAAGCATTATTTCCATTTTAGTGCTGTAGACATTCCACAGGTATGAATCCAGTTCAAATTCACATGCCCGAGAACCAAATAATAACACTAATATAATGCTCCACTGCTTCCCCATAACCTCTGTATTAAATACCACCATGTCTACAATAGGGTATAATGATTGAAAAGAAATACCAGTGAGGCTGGATCTTTCACTTCTGTAGTTTCAGATATCTACAGAGATGTCCAGCAAAGGGACTGCAATCTCCATCAGGTTGAGACAAATCCAAATCATAATGATGGACATTCATTTGAAAGACTAATAGTCACTTAGTTGCAATTTTACATAGGATTCAGGAAAGCATGGGATGGGTCTCTTCCATCATCTTTCAAACACAGTTAGGATTTCTTTTAGAGCTACACTACAGGGTACTTAAGCGTCTATTGAATGTATCAGGTTGAAATAAGATGATCACACATTTTGTTTACCTGTTACATACAAACTGACCAAACTATCAGCCATCACCTTATGGTCAAACTGACTAAGTCTGACCTCAGTTTGGTAGTTACATGAAATCAGCTCCCATTCTCTGTTGACTCTCAGATCCGCAAGTAATATTTTCCTGCCACTTTACTGAAATCAACTCAAGAACACTTCAGATATCTATTCAGATACTATTTTTCATTGAAAAATATAATATAAAGTAGACTTTCTACCTAAATCAAGTAGTCTCAATAAAGACTGGGAGATTTTCATAATAGTATTTGCATTTTGGGATAAAATAAAACAAAACACTTCCTATTTGCAGTTCAAGGTTTCTTCTTCCAGCACTGCCAAATCAAATTGTGCTTGAAAACTGTAGTAAACTATTTACTGAGGAAGACTTTGGGTCTTGGACCTTTAAATGACCCCAAGGAATCTTCTGTATACAGAGTAAAACCATCAGTCCAACCAGCTCAGCACAGTTTGTTTGGACAGGTAATGGCTAACATATCAGCACAATAACCCAAAATCCTTTTTCTGAAGGTTGCCAGGGATTGCGCCTAGGGAAGTCTACTCTAAAACATACAATCTACTAAATGTTGAACCCCTCCCCTCAGCACCCCCAAAATCTGGTCCTTCAACTTTTAATTATGCAGGCAATGAACTTATCCACACTTCAAAATTTCATAGGTTGGAACAACCAGGTCAAGTGAGAAAGGCCTCCAGTCACTCAAACAGTTTTTGAAATGCAGAGGAAGTCTTCTGCAGGATACCATAAATCCCATCAAAGCACTCAGATTTGATTCCTCAGAACCCTTTGCAACTGTTAAGTCATAGCATTTCTGTGAGGTAGGTGGATATCCTATTCCCAGTTTACATGCAGGAAAGCAGAGGTTAAAGCAGCTTCAGAAAAAGTAGAAATCGTTTAAACATAACAATTCTAAGCTTAAATATCAGCTATTGGAATTCTAGACATCTGTCTTCCCTTCCAACCCAATGCAGAATATAACGAAGACCTGACGGTGGAAGGTGGATTTTTAATAGGCGACTGTATTTTATATATTTACTTGTAAGCTGCCCTGGGCGTTCTATGAAAGGAAAACCAGCCTAGAAATGTTCCAAATAAATAAAACAGTAAAGCTCACCAAACAACTTACCTCTGAGAAACAACTGGAAGGTATTTATGATACAGGGGAAAAAATACCATTAAATAACTGTACATCTTGGTAGTCAAGGTCCAACAACTGCACACATCCTGAGAAGCCCACATGTAACACAAATGTGGCTTAATAAATAATAAAGAGATACCATAGCAGCAATAGTCATATGGACAGAGAATTCAGTTCATTACAGTCTTGCATTCTAATGGGCATGCTGACTTCATTCTTGCGATTCTACTGCCACACCAACTTGTGCATGTCTGACAGTGCGACCATGGAGTTTATAGCCATTCAGAGTCACTAATGCCACAGTGCCCGGTTTCCTTCCCTCTGCTGGCACATGACAAACTATTTCATGATCATACGGGTCATATTTGCCACCAATGGGGTTCATTTTTTGCAGGCCATGTTTAGTGAATATGCTTTGTAGCCTGGACTCTACAAGACGAAGGCCTTCACAAATCTTCTTCAGCGCTGAATCTGGGTCATTGTATTCTCCTTCTATGGTGCTCTCAGTGGTTTTCTCCAGGATATCTGCTACCTCTACAAGATCTTTACAAAAACTCTGGATCCCTGCAGATACACAAAGAAGCAAAGGTTAGGACAAGGACAGCTAAAGAAGAAGAGGAGTACTCTTTAGTCTATTTTATATGACACTACACTAGGATCCAGGAAATCCTACCACTGGATATTAGGAACAGAAATGAATGTGTTAGTTTTCACTAAGGAAGAGACGAGCCATTTTCAGCTTCTCTAATTTCCACAAGATTTGTTCTTCATCGTGTACAGATGTCAGCACCAGAATGACCATTGGATACTCACCATGAATGGTCTTTCTCCTCTGAGGCTTGGAGGACATCTTGTGGGTAATTCCCATCCATCATCCAGGGAGGCAGGACCAACTGTTTCCTGTGGTGGGAGTCACCCAAGGCTCAGTTCTGGTGCTCCAAAAGCAATAAACTAGCTAAACTTCACTAAGAAAGAAACCTGAACAACATAGTATAAATAACACAAGAAAATATGACAACTGGAACAGCAAACGAATGGAAGAAGTCCTCTCTAATACTACTGAACTAGTAGTGCGTTTTTCTCTTACTTGTTAGGGGATAGAAAGAAGAAGAAGGCAGGAAGGTGATGACCTGGGAGGGCTGAGATGTCCTCCAAGCCTCAGAGAAGAAAGACACTTCATGGTGAGTACCCAATGGTTGTTCTCCCTCTGAGGTGGACGCCATCTTGTGGGACCTCCCAGAGCAGTGTCCCTAAATGTGGGGGGGAGGTCGTCACCTAAATATAGGACAGATTGCAGCACCCTTCTCCCAAATGCTGCATCTGCGGAGTCATACACATTGATCTTGTAGTGTCTGATCAATGTGGACAAGGAAGACCACGTGGCAGCCCTGCAAACTTCTTCTACTGAAGCCCTATTATGAAAGGCCGCATTTGTTGTAGTGCTGCACAAGGAATGGGCAGTGATTCCCTCTGGGACTCGCTGGTTAGAACTCTTATAGGCTTCGGCAATGCAGGATCTTTTTTGGGGGGGGGTTCATAATGCTGTGTGAAGTTTTTTTTTAACATTATCTTTATTGGTTTTTAAACAACTTAACTAAAACAAAATTACCCACATGTTACACAACATTAATTGCAGATAGGTTCCAATTTAGGCTTCGTCAATGCAGGATCTAATAGTGTTGCTTATGTCCGAATTAGACATCTTCCTCCCCATGTGAGGAGGAGAAATGTTAGTGAACATAGCTTCCATGCTTCTGAATGGGAACATTTGAGTGCCCTTCTTACGCCCAGGGTATGCCAAATTTTCTCCTTGGGGTGAGTAGGGTTTGGAGAAAAGGATGGTAGACAAATCTCTTGTGATCGGTGGAACTTGGAACTAACCTTTAGACAGAAGGTCAGGTCTGTTTGCAACACTACCTTATCTTTGTGGAAGGTACAGAGGTCTGCCTAAATAGAAAGAGCGCCCAACTCCGAGATTCTCCTGGCTGAGGTAATGGCTACCAGGAATAAGGTTTTCATTCTCAGGAACTTAAGCTGAATGCCCTTTAGCGGCTCAAATGGATGTTTGGTGAGTGCCGTGAGGATGGTATTAAGTCAGAAACCTGTGGGTCTGTGGTGGATTCTTGAGTGAAGTTCCTTGGAGGAAACGGCAGATATATGGATGCTGAGAAACAGGAAGACCCTGAAACTCAGACAGGACCAAAGCCAGAGCTGCCACTTGTCTCGAGAGTTGGTACCTTAAGGCCACTTGCGCATTTATCCTGTAGGAACTCAAGTAAAGATATGAGTCCCGGACATAATGGATCCACCTTTTTCCGGTGAGCCCATCGAACGAATGCCTTCCAGGTAGTGTTGTAAATCCTCGAGGTGGACGGCTTCCTAGACACCAGGATCATGTCGATGACCAAGTCCTTATAGCCTAGTTTTGAAAAACGGTTCCTTTCAACCTCCATGCGGTCAAGCGAAACCAGCCTGGTCTGGGGTGCCATATTGGGCCTTGGACTAGCATGTCCTCCGAGACTGGCAGAGTGAGGGGAGGAGCCACCGTCATTTCCCGTAGGAAAGTGAACCATGGGCATCGAGGCCAGTATGGTGCTACCACTATGACTTCCACTCTTAAGAATCGTATTGTTCGAAGAAGTTTGGGTACAATTGGAATGGGCGGAAACACATAGAGTAGCCCCTTGGGCCAAGGAGATAGATGAGCATCTGTGGCTTCCGCCTGGGGATGGTAATATCTGGTATAGAACCGTTCCAACTGACTGTTGTCTGGAGAGGTGAACAGGTCCACCTGTGGGGTTCCTAGCTTAGACACTATCAAGTGAAAGAGCCTCTTGTGCAATGACCATTCTCCTTCCTGGTTCATCTGGCGGCTCAGCCAGTCCGCTTGAATATTGACTATCCCTTTGACATGCTTTGCCCTGATCGATGCCAGGTTGTCTTATGCCCAATTCATAAGCTGAGTCACTACTCTGTGAAGAGTCAAGGATCTGGAACCCCCCTGCTTCTTTAGGTAAGCCTTCGCTGATATATTGTCAGTTTGAATGAGGATGTGGTGTCCCCTGACCTGGGGGGTGAAATGTTGAAGCGCTAATTTGATGGCTCGAAGCTCCAAAAGGTTGATGGGCAGTTTCTGTTCCACCTTGGACCACTTTCCCTGCAGTGGTCGGTGAGAAAGTGTGGTTCCCTATCCCGAGAGGCTGGCGTCTATAAAAATCTGGGTCCGATCCTGGATCCAGAATGTCTTGCCTTGGGACAGGTTGCTCATCATAGTCCACCAGCGTAAGCTTGATTTCACTTGGAGGAGTACCTTTAGAGAGAAATCCATTCTGAGAGCAATGGAATTATGAAATGGACACATGAACATTTACAGTTGTCTGGAATAAAAGCTGCCCCACTGCAGGGTGTCAAAGGCCCATCACATCTTGGTCAGGGAGGACAGAGACGAAGTCTTCGCCTGAATAATTTGCTTGGCAATGTCTTTTATCGTCCTTGCCTTCTTGACAGGAAGGAAGAGTTTTGTGACGATTGTCCATCACCACACCCAGGTGGTCCAGTCGCTGTGAAGGAGTTATGGAGCTCTTCTACATGTTCACCAAGAATCCGAAATCTTGCAGGCATTGGATCCTCTTGGCAGTGTCTTCTTGAGAACGTATTCACGAGGGAGAACGGACTAGAATGTATGGATGAAAATGTATGCCTTGCTCCCGAAGATAAACGATTAGATGAACAAGGACTTTGGTGAGCACCCTTGGTGCTGATGACAGGCTGAAAGGAAAGGCTCTGAACTGGAAATTATCCTCAACCATGTAGAAGCGTAGAAATCTTTGGTGGTGAGGAAACATTGGGACATGTAGATATGCCTCCGTCAGATATATGGAAGAGAGAAACTCCTCAGATTGTAAGGATTCCGCGATGGAATGGAGGGTCCCCATGCGAAAGTGTTTTGGCTCTACATATCTGTTTAAGTATTTCAAATCTATTCCTCCAATCCCTGTTCTTTTTGGGGACTGTGAAGATGGAATAGACTCCAGTCATTTGCTCGTTTATGGGCATGGGTTCTATGGCCTGAATGTCCAAAAGGTGATTTATCGCAGCTCTGGTTCTGACCCTTTTTTCTGGGTGTTTGTGTATTGGGGAGGCTATGAAGCACTGAGGCGGTATTGAGTGAAATTCTATCTTGTAATCCTCCCTATGTCTCTTGTCCATATGTCTGGATGGGAGTCAAGCCACGTCTGACTGGAGTAGGCATCCCCCCACTGGTGGGACCAGATAGTCATGCCTTGGGGGCTTTGGGGTCCCAATCCCCTTTGTCTTGTCTGTTGCCATTGGATCTTGGGAACCTGTTATTGAAGCCTCCACGATGAAAGGACTGCTTGCTGTTGTTGCCCCATGAAGGTCTCTTGTTATCTTGGCGGGGCCTTGACATGTTCTGGTATGAATGGGAAGGAAAGGAAGTAGATTCCCTCTTGTCTCCAAGACGTACGTATTTGGGTAGAACCTTCTTTTTTCATGGGTTTCCACCAATATTTTCTCCAGTGGCTCACCAAAGAGCTTGTCTCCTTGGAATGGGTATGCGGAGACAATGGCTTTAGACTGGTAATCTGCTGGCCAGGATCGTAGCCAGACTATACGGCGGGTGGCAGCGGCTGATGCCATGGCCCTGGAGATGAGAACCATGGAGTCTAACGTAGCATCAGCAGTGTAAGAGATGGCCTTCAGAATCCTATTGGCACCTTCTGGTCATCTGCAGTCATTGCCTGGCAGCATCTGGATCAATTTTCACATCCACAGGATGGATGCTCTAGATACCATGGATGCAGCTGAAGATGCCTTGATCGCCAAGGAGGAGGCCTCATGAGACTTTCTTAAGGCAAACTCAGTCCTCTTGTCAAGATTATTTCTTAAATTGCTGTGACCATCTTCAGAAAGCAGCCCAGAAGATTGTAAGGCAGTCACTGGAGCATCCATGACAGGAACCTGCTAAAGATCTGAGGCAGAGGATGTTACAGGGTACAACCTTTTAACAAGACCTGGAATTGACTTGTTGGTTTAGCCCTCTCTGCCTTGATTTTATGCTCTTTCTGAGAATGTAACTGGTGGGAAAAAATTATCAGTAATCTCTGATCCATCCTGCTGGTCCTGACCAACAGGGCACTTGTTCCCAGCACGCTGTGAGCTCTGGATCTTAAGAGCAGACAGAGTCTTAGATAGTAAATAGTGAAGGTCCTCACTCTTAAAAAACTGAAAGGACTGTTCTGAAACAGCAGGTTCCTTTTCCTCCTCCTCATGAGAAGAGAATTCCCCTTCCTCCTTATCACTAGAGGCATGAGAGATACTGTCCCTCTTCCCCTGCTGGAAATCGAAGGGACATGGTTCCATTGGGAAGTCTTTTTGCGCAGCCTTAGTGGGCCAGGTACTCCTTTTCTTATGTCTATGGGGAGAGGAGGAGGAAGATCTAGACCAGGTAGACCCTCGGCCCCCTGGCCTGCAGAAACAGGTTCTCTCTTGTCTCATAGCTCTCCTAAAAAAGGCCATTACTTTCGAGGACAATGGAGAAGACC